AGCGGTGGCACGTCTGGAAAGAGTTCTAAAGAGGGCGTAAATGGCATCCGCGCCGTCTAATGACTTGGCAAAGGCAATGGGGGCGGCCGTGTTCAACATGGTCTGCACAATGTCCAGTCGAGGATCGCCCCAGTGCTTCGGGAAGTCCGGTCGCATAATGACGCCATCATCATCATTCAGAGTGGCACAGTATTGCCTTCCAATGGCCCGCTCCTGTGCAGCCCGCAAAACATCACCGGATGAATCCGCATAGCGTAAAAGTGTGGGCGCATGCTGTTGCAAGCGATCCAAACGCCCAATGATGGCATTGAAGTCATTGTCCCAAGTATCATCTACCTGATCCTTTGCAATAGCCAAAGCTCGCTCAATCGGCTGCGCCACGCCGACGCAAAGCTCCAAAGAGACAAACTTGGGATCAATACCATATTTTAAAAGACCTCGGCACAAAAGAAACCACCAGCGAGAGGCATGATTGTGCTGCGCTTGAGGTGCATCAAAGCAATCCACCAGCATAAAAAAAAGACGGTTGGCCATAGAAAGGGGCGAGGTGGAGAGAACCCCTTTAATGGCTGGCCATCCACCAGACACTCGTGCCTTCCCTGCAAGTGCACGCTGAAAGATGGTGTACAAAATAGGCGGAGCCCCGCTGAGGACGGCGTCTGAGGAAGAACCGGCATGAAAGACAAATCTCTCAAGAAGAATGTGTTCAGGCAACGTCCGCTGAAATTCGTCTGCTGGTGATGGTTGCGAGACCACTGAACTGCGATTTGCAAAGTCACTTGTCTCAGGCACACAGAGACAGGTTGAGTAGTACCAAACATATTGAGTCCACCGCATCAATTTACTCAACTCAAGGTTCATATGCGCCAGTGGCTCGAGTAAAACCCAATGTCTTTCCTGCAGCTTAAGGCTCTCACACAAAAGATGCAAAACAAATACACCGAGTCCACATTGATGCTGTGTCCAGAGCTGAATGAGATTCGGACCATATTGGAAGGCCTCACGGCCATTTTTTTCCGGGGCGCATGGACTGCACAACGAATGACGTTGCAACAAATCAGCATTCAGGGCAATAGGATCAAGAAGAACATCACACAACCGTACCTCCTCCCTCTCCTCATGCCCGAGAGCATTTTTTAAAAAGTATCGTCCATCGTTCTCCTTGCATCCACCAGCACCAGCATTGTTATTAGTATTCTCAAGTACGTTGCTTCTTCTGCTTCTTCCAATCATACTTGTACGGACAACTTCTATGATTAATTCAATACAGCCAATGCCAAAATCCCACACATTCCCCAAATGTTTGCTTTCCCATGCGCGCCGTAGCAACTCACACTGTAGCGATGCGACACAATTTGCCTCTAAAACCAATTCAAGCGCCTCCAAAATAAAATGTACAAGCGGGTGTTGCTCCTCCAAAAGCGAGGGAAAACTAACAACGTATGACTTCTGTTCCAATTCATGTGCGTGCTTTTCTCCCCTTTCACTTTCGTTGCCGTAGGAACGCGGGGTAGCATGAAAAGCAACCGCAGAGCCCGTCTGATACAACACACCATTCACCATAAAATCCTTTGGCAGTGTAGTCGCGAGGGAAATTGTGGCTATGCTAGTGGAGGAAGAAGGGTGCTCCAGGACTGTAGGAACATGATAAAGAGTCACCTCATTCACGGATGGGTAATGGCACACCATAATGGGTTGCATCATACAAGGTCGCAGAGAAGGAAGCACAACTGGAGGACAGTTTGTCGATATAGTGAAGAGCAACTCCAACGCACCCTTTCCAGTCAGGAGGTTCGGTGTTCTCAAAACATGTAACAAAGTATGAGGTGCATCAAAAAGAAACAGTGCCTGAACAGGAGCCTCTGGACTCTCAGAAATGGTCACAGAGACATCCGTCGCCTTGACATGTAATTGTGGCACATGTAAACGCTGCGGCCACCATACCCAAAGCAAGGAATCCAAATGTTCCACTACAACCGTCGTTGCAAGACATATTTCACTGCCTCGCACTGCCACCGTCATTAACCGCCCCTTGTATGTTTGAAACTGGGTGAGAATAATCGCGTCCACCAACGCGTACCCTGGCGTGGCACTGCCACTATCCACCTGCGACGAAACAGACATCATTGTTACGGTTGGATTGCTGGGAAGACGTGTTATCAATTCCAAATCTCCAGCACTCACGTAAACCGGTCGAAATGTCAGCTGAGAAGCCATCCACCATAAATCCGCTGCCTGATGGAACAGAAACCCCTCCACCTGCAGTGCCCTTGATGAGGATCCCCGTGAAGACTGCTGGCTGCCGTGGACAAACACGCCACGTAAACCCGGCACGACGGTCGTGGGAGCAATGTTTTTTAGCACAAAGTGTGTGACAGCAGCGGGGTGCACAGTGTTATAGGCGGAGCAGATTGTCGATGATTGATGTGCGGTGTAGTGGCTATGCCGATTCTTTGGCTCATCACGATGAAACACGCACAGATACTCCTCTTGCACTGCTTCGCTGCCGCAATGGCCTGCGGCTCCAGTGCGTTCCCCACCAGTACCGTCCAAATTAGGTTCCAACTCACAGTTGGCACATGTACTCTCTGGTAAAACAAATGCGGGGTCCAAACTTCGCTTCTGCCTGGAAGGGGCGGGAAATCGTGTTAGAAACGCCCACTTCACGTTGCGATGGGATACGGAAAAGTGAACCTCACCGTTGTGCAGCACCGAGACATCCCGCACACCATCCGCCTGCTTCTCGCCCACTCGTATCGTGAATGCACTCTGCATGCCGTAAGTTCACAAATCTCTCTCTCCCCTTTTTCCCCCTCTCCCCCTCTGTATGTGTGCGTGCAATAAGAGCAAAAGAAAAAAAAAAAGAGGGAGAGGGAGGGGTTGGAATTTTTTTATTGCTTTTTTTTTTCTTTGAAGCCATTCAGTGAGTGGAAACAAGAAGCAGAAAAAAAAGGCACATTTATATCCCATGCACTCCGACACGCACACACACACACGCAAAAATACACCACAAGAACAGGGCAAAGGCAAGACAAAATCATTCTTTTTTTCTCTTGATTTTGTCATGTCTTTTCCTTCCAAACTCGTCACTGCAATAAAGCAGATGGCACGGCAATCCACGACAACGAACCAATGAAACACACATGATACTTCATTTAAAATAATAATAATAATAATAATAATAATAATAATAATAATAATAATAAACCCATAAAAAAGGCTTAACACCAATCAACCCACATCCCCTCAGAAGAAAAAGAAATTAAAAATCATCAAGCAAAAATATATATACACGTACATCACGGTAGTCTGCGTGATCAACGGCAAAGCAGTATCTGATCCGCATTGTACATGCAGGATGGGTTCACGGCTGTTGCGTTTAATGGGAACCAGGCCGCATCTGTGAAGAGAGCCACACCGTGCAAGGAAATAGCGGTATGATCAATCCAAAAAAACTCGGTTTGTCGCCCACTTGTTGTGGAAGGTGGAAGAATCAACTCACGTACGTAACTCTTCACTTCTCTTCCTGGACAGTTGATGAATGCTGAGGCGTTATGTTGCGACGATGCCTTGACTGGACACGCATCAGACAACATGTGATTGACGCATGCAAAGAGTTTTTCCATCCATGTGAAGGAAAAATTTGAGTCGGATATTGCGCGCCACTGAACTCCAGTAAATATCCAATGCACTCCATGGCAGACACAACGCACCGGCAAAGGTCGTCGCATAAAGAAGAAAAACAAATCGGTTTGCTCTACAAATGCGGCATTCACGATAAAATCAACGGGTTTCATTTTCTCTGTACACGGGCAAGAAAAAGGAATTTCAAGCGCAGAGCGTAACTGCAAACCCTCATCTTGTCGTTCTTTCTCTGTAATCCAAAGAGAAGACTTGAATTTCATCTGGCGGCCAAAGTGAAGCAAATGTGCCTCGAGCCTCTGAGAGTAGCGCTCGCCCCTAACGAGCGAGCGAGGAGCGGATTCGTTGGAAGGTGAATTGTGCGAAAAAAAAACGCCACGGCGGGATGACTCTACAACTGTCAAAAAAGACGAGCGTTGCCTGAGGAGCCCTGGACGCATCCGGATGAGTGACAGTTCCCTGTTGACCAATGAAATGATTATTACCTGACATGCACGAGAGGACAGGGGAATGAGAGAGTCCGCAGAGAGAGAGAGATCCGGGGCGTCACACGACAGGGCGTGGGCAGCAGGCGCGGCTGACACTAACGGAGTGGGTGACAACAAAGACAACACATCATAAAGAAGAAAAAAGAAAACAAAAAAAAAAAAAAAAAGGAAGAATGCAATACAACTGTCATTCCCTGCAATTTCTTTTCTACGCCTAATTCCCCAAACAACCAACGTCCATGCGGTTCAGCTTCTTGTCATCATTGAAAGCAATATTCGAAAAGACTTCACTGATCCTCTAATCAAATAGAAGGAGCAAAAAACAAAAGAAAAACAAAACTAACAGAGTGACTTTTTCTGGAACCACACATACGCACACACAAATTATAAGTTTTGAATCATTCCCTTTTCATCTACCTTTTCGATTCGCTCTCTTTATTCAAGGGAGCAATGGTTTTTCTAGGATATCCAGCACCTCTTGCACCCCAGTCGTTGCCTCCTGGAGATTCACCTCACATATTTCCAACAATTCGTGAAGCTGCTCTTGATTACTTGTTCCATCGCTTTCACCTTCGGAAGCTGAATCGTTCACATGGGCCGCAAACGTCGGGACTGAAGCAAAAGTAAAGCCTCGAACAGCTGGAGTACGTGTGCCACATGCCGCCACGGCGACAGCGACGGCCCCTTGGGAGGGAGTCTTGTAATAGGAGTAGTTGTTATCGGTCATGGATGTCGAGGCCAGCGGAAGGGAAAACTCCGACATGCCCAATGTGGGACTCTTTGGCCACTTCTGCAACAAAAAACTTGACCCGACCGAGCTTGGAAGCGGTGCTGGTGCAAAGTGCGGTGTTGGAAAGGACCGTCCACTGCCCACAGAATCTGAGCAATGCGCCAGTACACTTCCCACGCGTTGTTCAGCGGGGCATTCCCCTTTCACATTTGTCGCCGTATTACTCACCAATATCAGATCTCCCTCTTGCTTGAGGGAGGCACGCCATAATCGGTTGTAAGTGACACTGACGCTCACCAGCCCGTCTACTGCCCAGACCTTTTTTACACAACTATCGGTTTCCAAGCGCGGAAGTTCATCCATATCCACAACCAGTCGTAAGACTATATCGCCCGCATCCACATACGTAATATCCACAAATAATTCGTGAATGCGCAAATACGCAAAAATAACACGTATCAATATTTTTAGAGAATTTTCCTGTTGCTCCGTTATCGCAAGTCCCTGGGAGGCAGCTATGGCAGAAGGCATCTTGGAGTTGGGAGACATCACACCCGGCACCCTAAAGTCTTGAAACCGCCAAATCTCCGCTATAGCACCCTTGACATGCACAACCAACGCTACTTGTGACGCCAGCCCTTTTTTAGCCTGATGGGCTTGCAGATTTTCCTCGTCTGCAAGACATGGGCCCCGGTCAAGCATATGCAAATCTCCAAAGGTGAACGTCTCACAACCCTTTAGCGGAGACCTGCCATTTCGCACAAGACGAAGAAGTTTCACAATAAGCGTATCGTCCATACACCTTAACTAATGTGCCCTTCTTTTTTCTCCTCACACACACAAACACACCTACGCTTTTTTCTTTAATTTTCTCTTTGCAACCCTCAACTTCTTACTTATTTCTACCGCCCCACGTGCTATGTGCAGTTGAGCGTTCTGCAGTTCCATCACATAACGTTAAGGTAAAAAAGAAAAAAAAAAGAAACGCAAAGCAACAAGGCCAGTGGAATGTGCACATCGAGCAGAAGAAAACACGGACACACATGAGAAAAAAAAAAAAAGTACATTCTCCATGTTTTCTATTCATTTCTGGGAAGGGGCGCGTGTTATGTGTGCGTGCTACCTTTCAAAAAAAAAAAAATGCACAATTATTTTTATCCGCATTAATCTGAAGTTCAAACCCACCTTCTCAGACCCCCCACGCATGCACATATTCTTCCCTTTTTTGCTCCTTGAACGGGACAAGAGTGACAGGGTTCTGTGAATGTCATGTTTCCTTCCCTTTTCGAGAAGTTTTATCAAAAAAAACTGAAGGAAAACACAATTTTTTAATTGTGGAGAAGACGTACCGTCATCGCATACACAAACAGACACATTTGTCAGCAACGGGGTCCATTTCGCCCCACAAGAAAAACACCCACTACGCATTTCCCTCTGATTGCCTGCGTGCCGCCTGCTTCTTTGCCATCTCCGCATTGGTTGGCACCATGGGGTATTCGGGGTCTTCTTCCCCCCTCGCCAGGAGGTCACCTCCCACCACCACAGACGAGATGAATGCATCGGCGCACAGCACCGGAATAAGCTCGCGATCACTGGACGGGACCACGCGAGGAAGGTTGTGGAGCGGGTGATTCCTCAGATGCTCCTCCAGCGATGATGTGGCAACGTCACAACGGCACGCCTCCGCCTCCGCTAATTCGTCGCCGTAAGTGAAAGGGCAGAGGCCCCGCGCAACACACTTCCGAATGACGTTGACAATTCGAATGACATCATACACGTCCTGCACGCCCTCGTGAGATCGCACCGCGGCACGAAAGTCAAACCCGTGGGCATCAATCATGTGGCCCAGACAGTTTTCCGACGCTGCGTCGCATAAGAGGCATACAGCAGGCTCGACACCCCAGTCTTCATCATCACCATCATCGTCACTTTCAACCACGTTGGTTTCATTGGCACTATCTTCTACTTCCTCTTCACCGGCCTCCTCACTCGTATTGACATCTGCCATACAGAAGGACGCTAATGAGG